CCTGTGGTAGTTCTGCCAGAGTCAAGAAACTGTGCATGTTGTTTGCTTATTTACAACACGATAATCATGATAATAATCACTGCTCTGATTTTAACTCATTTTGAAAAAGATTGTATCAACAGATGAAGCTGCATTTGCACAGTTTCCCTCAAGATAAGAACACTCAACAGTAACATTTTATGCACCATACCTTGATTATAACCCTCTGATCTGATTGTTTATCCACTGTTATCTCAGAATCTGTGTCAAACTGTTTAATCTGCTGTCTTATAGCCTGGACTACAGCAGGCACAAAAGATGCTGGTGGTAAATCAAGATCATCACACAGCACTTCAGCAAACACTTCTGGCGAGATCAGCGTCTCTAGTGGAAGTAGGATAAAGCAAGAGTCCGTATCTTATGTAGAAGCAATGGTTTATTTAGGGATACCAACTTATTCCTCCCCGGACTACTTACAGTATTTCGAAATGTCTCTTTAAGGCCCTTAGTTCTTAAATCAGTAATGTGGTCTGATTTTCCAGGAACCAAAGAGTACAAAGAAAGCAAAAACAAAAAAACTGGAAGTGAATTAAAATTCTCAGACCCCTGCGGCAAAATCACTCATTTCCAGGTGTTTTAGGACTTTTCAGCTCTCAAAAAGGCAAACACAAAATTCCAGGATGAACTTCCCATGGAACATCAAAATCGTCTACAAAATGATTTAGGCTCACAACAGTTTGGACATTTTCCATACAAGTAAGATTATTATTAAGACATGCAGACAACTGATACATCCCATGTACATGACATTTTTCACCCTGTTGTGGGAGACTGAGCGGCCTATCAAAATGGTTAGTGTGCTGGACTATAAATCAAACAGTTTGGGCTTACCCCTTACAAAGGCCATAGTATTGTTTTATTTAGCAAGATGCTTGACTGTCAAAGTGCCTCTCTCCACCCAGCTGTATAAATGGGTACCAGCAAATTTAGTGTTGGGGGTAACCCTGTGATGGATTAGCATCCCATCCAGGAGGGAAAGGGGAGAAGGTAGAAATACTACTTCAATCACTAACAGCCACCTCTCTAAAACAGCCACCTTTTCGGTCCTGATGGACTGTTCAAACATTCACTCTTATTTTAATCTCTCTGCAATGGCCACCTCTTCACAATGGCAATGGCTACTAAAACTCGTCACGATTGCCAAAATAACCTCTTGCCAATGGTCAGTTAATTAACGACTGAAAAACCATGTAAACAAAACCCCACTTTTTATTGTAAAAAGTTAGCGAACTTGATCTGTATTGCATGTTGTTGGTCTCTGTTAAGTTTCTGGTTTATTGGCAAATTTTAATTTATATATGCTAACATAAGCACTCTTTGAAAAAAAATATGCTGCAACCACCCCCCCCCCNAAAAAAAAAAACAGGTGTCATATTACACCCCTACCTCCCCATAATGGCCAGCTCTCTACGGTAGCCACCTTCCTCTGTCCCCAAGGTGGCCGTTGTGGAGAGATTCGACTCTAGTTGCTTATTAATGCTACAGAATTCAGGATAAACTCCAGCAAGATGGGACACATGCCCCAACACAGACTTAACAAGCATCAAAATGCTTGGAAAAAATATTGTTTAAAACAGCGGTGAAAACACCAACCATTCTTGTTCCATGTGAATGTATCTCTGAGTTTCTGCCCATCAATGTCTATATCAAGTCTGATAGGTACCAAGACTTCAGGTTGACTTGCTGCTTCATGGATGGCCGCCATATCATGGTCATCATAGCTGAAAAATTATAGTAATTCATCAATATAAATGTGGAAAATGTTTGGTAGGTACACTGATGTAATGATTGTATATGGTGGCTGTGCCCCAAGGGCAGATCCAGAATTTTTCTTAGGAGGGGTGGTACACCCCTAAACCCTCCCCCTAGATCTACCTTTGTGCCCGCAGTAAGAACAGAAGTCAAAACCATATTGTCCTGCTGAAACAACATGACTAAGTATTTTTCTTCGTAGCTAAAAATCATTAAGACAGTGCTAAAGTTGTTTGGCCTTTCTCAATGCTTAACTCAAGACTTCCAGCTTAAAATTAACAAGAAACAAGATATCTTGGCTCATTGTGTTTGTTCTTAAGCAAGACACTTTTACTTTCACAGTGTGTCTATCCAGAAGCATAAAACAACACCAGTAAAGTGTTGCAGCAACCTGACAGAAAGCTGAGAGGTAACCTGTGGCAAACTACCATCCCATACAAAGTGGGAGGCAAATACACTGAGACGGTTCATACTGTGGACACTGTAGTTATGTTCATGTCGTAGGGAGTAGAGGGCTTGTTTCATGAAGTAGACAGCTGACACCGATTCAAGTACTGAAGGGACAAGCCTCTACAACAGTCTGGGGGTGTGCTCCCCCAGAAAATTTTGAAATTGAGAGGCTCTGAAATGCTATTTTATGCATTCTCTTCCAGAGATAATTATCTCCTAAAAAATCAGTTTCAGAAAAGGTCAAAACCTCAAGAATATTAATGGGTTAACAAAGACTTTTTTCAATTTTTATCCTACAGTGCTAGCGTAATTGAAAACATACACCACACCCTGACCCCATACACTCTCTCTAGCTACAGCCTTTACTGTCCTGAAACAGAGACAGTCAAGGTTCAGTCACATTCCAAAAGACCCGGGTTTCCCTAAATTACAGTTACATCTTGCACACGTTACTTCGTAAATAGTAGGTGGCCCTGACTAGTCACAGGTTGCATAGTAAATGAAGGGGTGCGTGGAACAAAGCCCTAGGTGACTTTGGAAAATGTTGTGTTGAAATACCTCCCAGCAATTTATACAGCTTACTGTGGTCTTCATTATTGTCTGCAAAGAACTAGTACTGTAGTAATAACTAGTTCTTTTGAGACAATAACTAAAACCAGAGTGAACTATGAAAATTGCTGGTAGGTGTTTCAATCCTGGCTACCTCAAAATGTTCCAAAAGTCACTTAGGGCTTTATTTCACGCACGCCTTTAAATATCAGTGACGATAAAGAAAAGACACAGGAAAAAGTCTGAAAGATTTGAACCAAGAGGTTTAAAAGTACCAAGTTAAACATAAAGCACATATGCCAGATCATCTTGATTAGTGTTTTCTAAAGTCAGGATATTGCTAACCAATACAGAAATCTAGGTCAAACTGGCAAAATAGAAATCTGACACTGACCATCCCAGACTGATAAGGACAACTACATTGCAATGTTTTCAAACATGTACAGGTAAGTTGAAAATGTCTGGGTCAGTCAGGAAACAATGAAACCCCAGACCATCTACTGTAGTATTTCCTTGACATATGAAAACCATGATTACTTCCCCAGAACCCAAAATACATAATCCTCCTGGACTGATTGTATTTGTCCTACTGAGCCAGGTTGTTTAAAGGGTGGATAACGCTATCCCCCAGATAAATTGCTATCCAGTGGATAAGTGTTGGCAAAACAAACCACGCTATCCACTGGATGGTGATTTATCCTGTGGATAGCACTATTATCCAAGGGGCTGGTAATTACAATCAATCAATGAGTCATGGTGACACAACCCACTGCAATATAGCCTTGTTCAACAAGCAGCAGCTTTCCAAGCTTCCAGTTGGCCTTATAACACAAAAATCTATAAACCTTTTATAAACATTTTTCCCTTTGCATGCAAGCTTTTAAAATGTCATCCCCAAAAGTTCCACTCTTTGGAGATACATCCACAAAGAGATTTGGTACCTGTCTTCGTCAGTACTCTATAAACAAGAACAATAATTTACCACGTAGGAAAGGTTTTGATCCTTTTCGGTCCTATCCGATTCCTGTTCACTGTTGAGGAGCAGGGCACAGCATCGAGATGAAAAGAGTTACTAGAAAACAACGTTTGTGGTGCCCATGTCGGTTGGCTTCCTCGTTTTGACTTAGAACTCGGGTTCCGCGCCGTTGCCTCGGCTGTCTCCGTAGAAACTTTATACTTTTCATCTTTCCCTTCAAGGATTTCGTCCACTTCATGAGATTTCAGTAACGTGACATTTGTAGCGATGCTGTTGTGTCCTAGACCCAGCTGTACAATTTGCTTTCGTTCATCGAGTGTCGCAAGTCTTCGCCACAACGAAGGGTACTTTTTGTATAAAGAACCCCTGAACATTCGAAGGAAGTTTCCAACTTCGGATCCGATCATGTAGTGTTCTCCATCTCCTAACTGAAAAGAACTCGGTTTTTGACCGTATGTTCTCACCGCCATCTTGCTATTCACCCTTTCTGTCATGTTTACCCACAGTGCTTGGCGAGATCCAACATCGTGCCTAGTCTCTCACGGTGAAACGCTAAAAATATTTTACTGAGTCATATTTTACAACTTCAGGTTCAACTAATGTTCAGGTTTACTTAGGAAAAGGCAAGGAATGAACTTTAATACAAGGTTAATAGATAGACGCTAGGTTTATGAAGCTTCTTGGGGTATCCAATTTGTTTCCAATTGATCTTGTTGGCTTGTCATGATCGTTCGAAGTAAGTCTTAATTTATTACATCATGCTAGATTCATGCTGAGTATAAGCAGGAGGAGAAAAGCGGCATTTAAAGCCACAAGTCTTGTTTACAAACACACTCGGGAATTCAATTGATACCAGTTGTTGAGGTTATGCAAAACTTGCATGATTTTTTTGCTTCATTTGCAAAAAGACGATAGCAAACTGAGGCAGTATTATTTTTTCTAATAGTGTGACGTTCAATTTTTCTTTCTTGGAACGGGAAATGGCAACTGAAGTCGGACGACGATAAATGAAAACAACTTGGGGAAATTTCAAACATACTTAACTGTGATGTGAAGTTTATATGAAATAATTCACGTGTGGTCATCATTTCACTCCTCACGGGAAGATATGAACTCAATTAATTGACCTCGCTCCCAATGTGTGGCTTCATAGCTCAGTTGGTTGAGCATCGCACCGGTA